TCTATCAATGCAAACTAACCCTAAAAACCCAATTCTTTTCATGTTTCTCTCTCAATCATGGAGAAATTTTCAAATTGTACAATGAGTAAGGCATGATTGATATAGCATGTTCTGTTAACTCGTTTGTCCAAAAGATTTGAAAAGCTATGTCCAGAGATCTTCAAAGATCCCCCAATTGAGTGGCCTTGGCTATAAGTTTGAATAGGCTAGTATTTGACTGACAGAAAGACACGGGTTTTATTCCTAGGAAAATCAGGCCCCGGATAATCAAAGGGTAGAAAATTATTCGTGCTACCAAGATTGGTAGACTGGAGCACTTTCTACGACCACGAAGTGGAGACTAAGAGACTTAAAGTGCAAATTGTAGTTGACAAATTTTCCTTTATAATGACTATGATGGCTTCATTTTAAATGAAAATTCACCACCAATTTGGTTGCTTCGTTGTCCTGATTGCATAAGTCTCCATAAGTATTTCCTCTCAGAATGTGAGGCTTTATACATTATTCTTAATGGAACTTTGTAATGGAATGAGTTTGTCAACGGGCATCTTTCAACTTAATGAGCCATCGGTCTGTTAATTGTAGAAGCAAGCTTATTGGTTGACTAAGATATGACAGTTGGTGGTAATCTTTTCGGATAAGAGAATTTTCAGTGAGCGGTAATATGCACTCAATGCTGTCATGACACGCTCTTTGCACAGGTAAAGTTACTTTCTCATATAGGGTTGACATTATGCGTTAAAAGAAATACATAATGAATGGCCAAGGTTGTAAACTTTTCAGATTTTCGATCTACCGTAGTAATCTCATCTTTTTCGTCAGATACTGCATCCTATTATATTGTAGTACCAATACATAATATTACTGGAAGATGTGACTATAGAAGAAATCAGAGGCTTAACTAACAGCAATGTTGCAAACTTCGTTTCAGTCACTACTTTAACTGAAAATTAGCTTATTAAAGTGCATAAAACTTTCACGGGTATCTTTTGAATGTAAGGCTAACTATGTGAACCGTGCATTAAACTAGGTTTCCCCCTCTCCCATCATGCGTTTATTCGTTTTCTACACTTCCAAAATTTCATTTATTTATGTTTCCAGACCAGACCCACAGACATCTTTCTAGAAGACATGTATTGGGGTTAATTGAAAGGACAATTAAACTTTCTTGTCAGAACAATACATATTCCTCACGGGGCTGGCAATAATAAACTTCCTATAGGTTAATTAAGTAGAATTTCTCCAGTACGAAAACTTCAACAGAGGCACTTTTAAGATCAGGAAGATCTCACCACTTCGAAAGAAGGCCACTCATCAGCTGACAGCAACCACATATTTTAGCGGAGTCCCATGAAAGTTTTAAGGAGAGAAATCTTTTTTATGTAAAAGTGACATGGTAACCCACAAGAGGTTGTTCCCCCTATCAAACGGTGCCAAGTGGCAATACCTGACAAGAGGAGGATTTAGATTTGAAGGGCAATGGATACAGTGTTATTCTCTGCAATAGATCTTAAACAATTCATTAGAAAAAATAAAAAGGAATATATAGCTGGCAGAAGAAATTTGCAAGTAGAAGAAAAGGAGGATGCAGTATTCTCGGTAGAAGTCGCAAGGAACTGTATGAAATATTATTTTGCTACAGAGATAAGGGCTAGTTACCTGTACGTGTTGTGTATAACCAGTAACATCTTTTTCAAACATTCATTGATGAAAGAAATTGGTTTTTCTCATAAGCGAGAGAACAAGGAACAAATAAAAACTTTTTAAGAATTGAAGATTGATGCATAATTTCATCTGCTTAATGTACTGTAGTAAGTCAAGCTAGTTTCAACAACCTAAGACTTTGCATGCATGAGGGAGAGCATAAAAATATCTATTACCCCTCACTTTCTTAATTGAAAATTGTGAATAACCTTTAGAGATATTTCATTCCAAATTCTTCCGTTTATTATTTCTATATGAACTCTATCTCAGGTGTTCCAGATAAAAGATGGAGCTCAATAGTATAAAGAGTAAAAGATGTGGAGTCCATAAGACAATAAAGCATTTTTAATCTCGAGAATAAAGGAAAGGATTTAAGCCTTCCATTTTCCTTCATAAAGAGATAAGCATACACTAAGCCCCTCACAGAGGATGAGGGCCCTTCAAGGGTTTTGTTGGTTGTAAATGTATCACATAGACAACAGCACTGCCAATGTGTAAAGATAGCATGAACATTATTGATTCTTGATGGGTGCCTATATTAAGCTCTAACTCAAAGTTGCCATCCTCGTATGTGACCAAAGACTGAGGGAAGCAGGATTTTCGAGCATTGAGCAACCTCAAAGCTAGTCCAAACTAGTGAGAGGTTGCGACCAAAATAGAAGAGAGAAAGAGATGGCACGAGGGAAGGTGCAGTTAAGGTGTATTGAAAACCCTATTCATCGGCAGGTGACCTTTTGTAAGCGCCGATCTGGGCTGCTCAAGAAAGCGAAGGAGTTGTCAGTCTTGTGTGAAGCTGACATTGGTGTCATCATTTTCTCTGCTCATGGAAAGCTCTCTGAGCTAGCCACTAACGGGTTGGCTTCCTACTTTTCTTCCTTCAAGAGTGTGCGAGGCTTTGAGAAATGGATATTCTGTTGGGTGTCAACTCATTGAGTTTTTTTTTTCGTTGAAGAGCCATGCAAGACTTGATTCAGAGGTACCAGGGAACATGTGAGGAGGCTCAAGTTGAAGATGGGGAAGCTAGGCAACCTCAGGTCTGTTTTAAAACCACCATTCCATGTATAAGGAATAGTTGTATTTTCATTCACAAATTGCACCAACTAGGAGAGGTGATAAGACCTTAACTAATAGACAAAGATGGCCTTGTGGTAGACCTAAGAGAACTTGGTGGAAGCAATCAAAAAGGACATGGTAGTGGTTAACTTAACGGGGTTGATAGCCCTTAATAGGACTGAATATGGAAGAACAAGATTCATGTAGCTGACCCAAAAAATTTGGGATAATGGTTTTGGTATTGTTGTTGTTTGTGTATATTCTATTTAGTTACACATGTATGAAGTCAGCTGGTCAGATGATGACGATGATGACGACTCTCCACCAGATTCAGAAAATGCTCTTTGTATCAGGAAACCAAGTTAGATGGCCGATAACAGAATTATAGGTTAGTTATGTATAACTGGGATGAAATAAATGAAGAAAGGAATAAATAGATGAAGAGGCAATAATCTCCTAACTATTGACCATGTGTCAGTCTCTGTATGTTTTTCATAGATTTTCTTTTTCTTTTTTCCTACATATATATAAAGAAACCACCAAATAGAACATAAGTAATATGTTGCTATCATAAAGATGGAACATATGGATCCATCTATCTGAAGGAACTAGCAAAAAGAACAGAAGTAATTAGTTATGATGTATTCTATATTAAGTTGCAGAAAAGTGTCGATCATTATGAAGATCAAAATCAAAACTATTTTATTCTTTTTAACTTAGGTAGGGAACTAAAAGTCCCTTGGTTCCTGATTAATGTTCACTAACCAGAGAGCAAAGCAGTATGCCTTTTGTGGCTTTTTATCCAAGAGCATCACTGATTGAGCAACTTGTTTACCACCTGCAAGGCTGCAATATTAGTCTAAAGAGTGACAGTCACTTCATTTATGCAGGAGATGCAACAGGAGATACTGCTGTTGAAAGAGGAGATAGATCTTCTGCAGAAGGGCCTGAGGTAAATTTTGCAAGCCAGTACATCTACGTATGTAGCACAAATACAATTACTGAGTTATATGCTGGTTTGAGTGTTGGAAAGAATATTTTTACATACTGTGAAATTTACAGGTCTTTCCAATGTGGCATTTGGTAGCTTGCAATATAATGTCCTTTTGCAATGAAACAAACACTTGCAACTGGAAAAAAAAAGACCGTGTTCTGACCACTCCAGTGGCAAGCTACCAAATGCCCCCAAGTGTATGCATGGTGTCTTTAAAAGTGTGGCAGGTATACAGTCTAGCTAAATGATGTATTTGTACTGAGCTATATACATGTTCTTTTAACAAATAATAAAAAACTATAATCCAATAAAGCAGATTTCTCAATAAATGTATTTTCCTTGGGATGATTTCTTATGTGTACATGAAGACTCCAAAATTTATCATCCCTTAAGGTCCTCATCCACCTATTGTGATTGTTTCTTTGACATTCTAGTGCAATCTTCTTTGTGCACTGTAAACTTCAGGGCACTGTGAATATTGTGTAAATTGTAGTGTATGATCATTTTATCTAAGGAAATCATGTACAAAATTATGTACGAATGTAACCTTAACAACAATGAAGACAAAGTTTTGTCCAAATTTTATGGTTCAAATACCTGAATTTTATGTGTCGAATATGACATTTACCGTTTCCATATCCACATGCTAGTAACGGATGCAGATACAAATATTGATATGCTGATACAAATATTGATATGCTTTGGTGAGAAAAACCGATATTCATATCTACCGAAATCGATCACGGACATGGATCGGATAAGAGAAAAATAGATTCAGATTATCAAGTACGAGAGAAACTGATAAAGCTCAGTAGTATGTATGGTATATGATACTAGAGTTGTATAAATAAAATATGATTTCTCAAATCAAAGTTCACCAATGCGTCAGAGTGCCTACAAACTTAATATTAGAGCTCTGGATCATAGAAATTTGTTTCAGATCCAGTTAAGGCTAAAATAAACCAACATGGATACTGGATCCAGATGCTATAAAAGTTTTTGACAATATTCGCAACTTTATCCATATCTCCCCAGAATTGGATATTCAGTGTTCATACCCACAACTCTACACTTATCGGATATAAATACAGATATATTTGTGGATATTTGTAACATTCTGCACACCCTAGTTGGGGCTATCTTCCCTTTTTTCCTTTTTTTCTGAAGAAATGTGGATTTAGTAATAATTAGTTCTGGAGTAGCATGCATAAGCATCTATTTCCAGATATGACAATTAAATGGTGTGCAGGTGCATGTTTGGACAAGAACCAGTAGGATATATGACAATAGACGAACTGCAAGCCCTTGAAAGACACCTTGAACTATGGATGTACAACATTCGCTCCGCAAAGGTAAACAACTTTTTTGTTATTTTCTGCTTCCATTATACTTGATCGTGATTCAACATGTTCACCAAGTAACCTCAATTCAAATATCCTTGATCAGATGCAGATCATGTTCGAAGAGATCCAATTGCTGAAAAACAAGGTTAGCCCTTGAATATGAAATGTATCATGCTTCATACTTACACAAATGATATTGCTTTTTGACTTCGACAAATCATGATTAAACTCCACATTATTTACAATGTAGCACTGAAATTTTCTGTTAGAAGGTGATGGCTTATCATTTTTGGAGGATGAACTGTAAAGCATAGACACCTCTGTCATTTTGTTAAAAAGAAATTATTGAAATAATCTCCATAATGGAGTGATACCAATATTTGTGACAACTCACATAAAGCCTAACCCTTCAAACAAAAAAAGAGAAACAAAAAGTCTAATTTTACAGGCAATAATAGTTAGAAGCAAACCACATGCTCGACATCACCATTGTGTATGGACTTTTTGCCATATTCCACCTCGTTTCTCCTTAAGAAATTTATGAAACAAGCTCCATAATGGAAGGACACAGATTTTTGTGACAGCTCACGGAATCTAACCCCTCAAACAAAAAAAAAGAAAAATGTCTACTAGTGCAGTTGATGATAAACAGAGGCAAGATACATCCTCGACATTGCCATTTATAATATACTGTTTCTATATTCTGCTTTGTTTCTAAAGGGTTGTTTTTAGAGGTATAGAAAACATCTTAAAATGCAACATTCTAGCTCCCATAACAAAGATCTCGACACTTTTGTTATCTAACTGAATAGACGGTGATCAATTCATGTCGATCAACTCTTTCTCTCGGTTGTTTACAAGTGTCGGCTTATTCTTTGTTACTAGGAATATCATAGTTCTTTCTTTATGCAGGAGGGCATACTGAAGGTTTCCAATGAAATTCTTCGAGGGAAGGTAATACTTAATTGCTACATATTCACATTGCTTTCCTGGAACAGTTACATGATCCAACTGGCCTTTTCCCTCTTTTTTCATGGTGCAGATTGTAGAACAAACAGAAATCTCTGCTGCATATCTATTAAGCATGCAGAATGGAATGTTCAACTTCTAGCAGCTATAGTGTTGGTTGCTACTGGTGATACATTAAGTGTCAAAGAACTCTCTACTTGAAGCTTTACTTGGCTTTGGTTGCTGTGTGTGCATTAGTTAATAATCCTGTGTGAAGTTGTTTTGTCTTAGTAGTACTGTAGATAAATCTACTATCAGAAATTTTGTTAGTTTGTTTTTATTGGTGATATATTATGAACTCATGTATAAATTTAGTTCTGTATTGTCATTTCCTGGTAATACGTTTATGAGAATGCTAGCTGCTCTATGTGAATTATTAATCAGGGAGAAAGTGGGGAAGAGAAGATATAATTGGGACCGTCCTCTATTGGTTTATTTATAATAGGAGAGATAATACATAATTAACACAAGCAAAGTGGGACTAAACTGATAATACCAACTCTCTCTCACGATACTCCCCTTCAGACTAGAGCATATGCATCGCACATGACCAGCTTGTCACAAATAAAATTTTACTCGTATTTTCCCGAGAATATCCACAAGCTGATTCTCTGATGATACATGTTTAGCCACGACAACTCCTTCATCCATCTTCTCACAAACTAAATGACAACCAATTACAATATGCTCGCTTTTCTCATGGTATACAGAATTCTCAGCAATATGTATAGCGGACTTGTTATCAGCATGTAATCTCATAGGGCACTCAGGAGGAAAACCGATCTCCGTCAAAAGGTTTCTAATCCAAACCAACTCATATGTCACGTTCGCTATGCCTCTGATCCCATGTGAATTATTAATCAGAGAGAGAGAGAGGGAGTGGAAAAGAGGAGATAATTTGGTCCCTCCTCGGTTAGTTTATTTATAATAAAGATAGTTAATATCTAGTTAACCCGCAAGCGATGTGAGACTAAAACAATAAGACCAATTCTCTCTGACAACACTCTACAGTGATATGTGAACTGTGATTCTCGGTTTAAGATGCAAATAATGGCGTGATAAAGGCAAGGGTTGTTAACTAAGCTATTTAATTCGGCAAAAGGGTATATAGAAACCAAACCCACTTTCTCTTTAAATAGATGCTGAATCATTGGAGACTAATCACTGAAAAGCATTCCATGAACTATAAGAACTGAGGTGAACAATACAACATTTCTCACTAAAACTTCATCCAATTAACTTACTGCAATCACACAAGAAAAACCTATGACAACTGGAACTCTGATCAATGGAATCTTGCTCGTAACGATTTTTTTATTATTCTCAAGCCATTGCAAGTTGCTTCAAATTCATCGGGTAAACGTCTGATGAAGAATTTGAGTAGTAAGCTTTCCTGGCGTAGATGAGATTTGCTGCCTCAGTTGGATGGAAAGCATCCCAGAACAAATACTTGGTTCGATCTTCGCATGGCTGCTGCAGCGGAAGGCAAGTTATCTGCCCATTGTTTCTTCCTACGCCGCAACATCCTCTGTCTATGACGCTGAATCCTGTTCCGTCAAAAAAAAAAGTTTCAAGAACATAAGTACATTGATTTATATCAGTCAAAAGTTGGAAAAGAGGATAATACTCTATATATATACATATTGTAGGATATCTATCTAAAGAAAATTTATTACATTTTAACTAGAAATCATGATGGAACAAAGTGCAAGAATTTCGATAAACTACCGAAGTAGGAAAATGTTTGAAATTGTCTAATTAAAGGGAAGAACAAAGTGATTAGCAGTGTGTTGGAGAGTGGGAGGTGTTTTCTATGAGTTGGCCCTAGGCCTTTAGCCTCTGATCCCATGTTACGTGTTGAGAAATGTATTTTATTTAATAAGATAGTACCGTGTGGCCTGTGTACGTCACGTCACGCGAGGCGTGATAGAAGCTCTGGGACCCACTGAGTGTAACGCGTTAAAATTTGGCTCTGGCAATAATAACTAGTCATTATTGTTACACTTGACTCCATTCACTTATCTTTTAAATGCATTCGCATGCGTCTAAGCTCCCCATGTGAGACTAATAAATGAGGTGTCACATATTAGGCATTGTAGGTTATCTATAAAAAGACCTTAAAAAGAAAACTATAAATAAGAAAGTGAGGTTACCATAAGAAGCTGCATTGTTGACAAGGTCGTTGGAGCTCTTGAAGGTATCCACATATACAAACTTTGCCCCAGGAAGCTCCCTGTTGAATCGTCGAACCATCCTGTAAAGACATGCATTGTACATGGAGATTGCCTTATTGATTCTACCGTTGCATCGTCTCCCTCCTTGGCGATCATCGTCATCCATTCGAGCTAGTTCATAGGGTATGCACCCTATCTGCCCAATTCCCACAATCGCAATCTTTCGTGCACCTAAATCGTACAGTTGCTGAAACAAAGACGGTATCCAAGTTATATATAAGGAATTGCGCTTAGACCCCCTATAGTGTTGTTGTTTCGGACTTACGGACATTGTAGTTTCATCGTTGCAGATAGTCCCTTGGGTTAAATTTTTTGGCTCCTTTACCCTCATATCTAAAACATTATCTGCCAAATTTTCCCTCAGGGTAAAAGCCTAAGAAATTTAACCAACAAGGGAAAACTACGGGGATAGTAAGTTCTGAACAGCGATGCTACAGGGGGTCTATGTTCAATTAATTCTTGATATAATTAATTTGGATAAGGTTGGAAAATGATTAGTTACACATACAGTTAACTGTCGTGAATAATCTTGGATGAGGAGGGAAGCATAAGTTTTCGGACTGTAATCATAGCTAGTAGGGTACATGCTGGGCATGAAATAGTTGTTGAGATAGTCATTGCTGCCCATTCCTACAAGATACATGCATTTTCTTAAGTGATCGTGTACTCGTGTGGTATTTCCTCTGAACATTCTGGTGATATACCGAACTGCATCGCCAAAGTGCTCTACTTGTTCAGCAAAATGGTAGTGCTGCCCCTGAAACATAACATGAGACTGTTAATCTATATATCCAACTCAGTGTAGAATAGTGTAAGAGTTTTCATGATGTTGTAGCTTACAAGGTTGTTTCCTGTTTCCTCTCTGATGCCTGAAGCTCCTGAAGCGAAGTTCAAGCCTCTCAAAACTTCAGATCTTTGCGCTGTTGCGTACGGGGGAATAAAGTGTCGAAAGCCTAGTAACCGAGCTGCATAAATTCAAAACATATATGAAGATGTTGGCAATATTGCATCATCAAAACTTTGAATTTATGATGATGATATAGGGCTACAGTTTGAATGTGTCCTTTCTGTAAATCAAAACATATGGGTTATCTATTGTGTGGATAGTTTTTTTTTTTCTTTAAATGTGTGTTCGTTGCTCTAAGATGTACCAAATTAAACTGTGAAAAGAAGGTACATGAAAACAAGATGCGAACAATGCACGTAAACATACCTAAGAAATCGACTGTTGTGAGACCATTAGTGAATCGCCCAGTCGAACCCTGCTTGAAGTCGATACCGTAAGGGTAGTAATTCGCCCTAGCGAGCGTCAAGATGCCATTGTTGTTACCGTTGTCGACAAGAGAGTCGCCGAAGATGAAGAAGCCAGGGACTTGAGGGGCTGACCAAGCCTTTGTGAGCACAGAGGAAGTAATTGTGAGCAATACCAACTTAGCAAGTTGCCTCATTGCTCAAAAAGAGTAGACGTACAAATACAAGGGTTTGGTTGAATTTAATTTGGGGTTAAGAGGGCGCGCCAATTTATAGTGTACTCGTGTGTGTTTGATGAGGGTCGGTTGAGTTTGAGAGGTAGAGAGCTCGTGAGTGATCGAGTGTGTGCGGGTGGATGATCAAGTGGCGGTGGTGTTCATGCATTTCTTTAAGGTTAGAATAAATGCAGGTGGCGGTGGAATTATATTGAGAGGTGTCCATGCTTTGATTTTGTAGCGTTGAAAATTTTGTTAATTAAGGCGTGACAATATAGTGTTGGTTTGCTTGTACTCGATCTTAGAGTAAATGAAGTTTTAAGATGAGATCTGTGTCTAGCTTTGAGCTTGCGACCCCCATAGCATTTCTGTTGCTAATGGATAAGATTGTTCATAGTAAATGCATCTCTTTCTCGATCCATAGTAAATGCATAAAGATAGTTGGAACACTAAATTATGGATATATCATCTTGTCAAAAAAAAAAAAAAATTCCTTAGTGTGGTTGGTTTGAGAGAAAGCGACTGAAAAGAAAAAGAAAAGAAAAGAAGATTCTTTTTATTGTTTAGTTAGGAAGAGAATTGAAAAGAAAGGTAGAAGAGAAATAGTAATAGTTTAATAAAAATGAGGTAGAACCTGCAATTAACTTATAGTTATGTATAATCTATTATTGTCATACTTTGTTCTCATTTAAAGTAATTAAAAAACAAATATTCAATAGTCATACAATTTTGAACGAGAGCAGTCTCATACTCTAAGAGACAGCATATAAGAATCATGGAAAAGATTGTAATTGATGGGTGCATACTCATTTACTAGATCATCAAAATTCTAAGATATATAGAGTATAATTTAAACTAATTAGTTAGTGATGAAAACAGATCTAACTAGTAATAGCATTATTCAATCACAAAAGTAATTGTTTTAAGAAGGTGAAGTGTTAAAACGCATGCGTTCATCTATATATAGCCTTTTACTAAAATAGAAAATTGGGAAATTTCGTTAGCTACGTAGCATAAACTGAAGCATCCCACCTTGATGTTTCTACAAATAAACTCCGGATAATAAGAAAGTCATAATTGACCAATACTATTAAGTACTAATAGCACTATGCTAGGCAAGAGCATGTGCCACATTATTGGCATTCATTCCTATGGCTAAATTTAAAGTAAACCCGAGGGTAAGCCAATTATTAAGGATATCAATATCCCCCTTTATATAATAAAGAGAAATTTGTGAACTCTCCCTTAAAGCACCAAAAAGTGTCATGTGTACAAAAAAATTGTCACATGTCAAATTCTAACAAATTAAAATATGTCATGTATCTCTCTATCCTAGTAGAAGATGACATGCGTATAACTAATTCTATATTCGTAAGAATTTTTATCAAATTAAAACTATGCATATCCATAATCGGAAAAACTCTATCCATAAAAAAAATGGAAATGTCTAATAATCAAATCTTCATTAGTCATAATCATCAAATTATAACTATCCATAATTAAAATTTCTTTATTTTTTTTCAAATGGCCCTCCGCAATTTTTTAGAGGGTAAATTTCAATAAACCTCTCATAACATTGGGTAGCATTAAACCCGCAAAATATTTGCAACTCTCACTAAACCCTAGTAGGTTAGAGAATTTATAAAAAAATATGCCAAAATATTTTGATTTTTTACTCTTAACCTCCATAATAGCGTTACACCATAATTTTGCATTAATGAAGACTAACCATCAATGCCAGTATATACTCCTCAAGTCATTCCTATTTGTAAGTTAACCTATGAGATTATAATTAATCCTGAAAATAGGCTAAATGGCACTTATATACCTTATCGTTTTTCTCTTGTAGCACTTAAATACCCCAAGTTACAAAACATATAAAAATAATTCTAAGTTGGTAGCCGTTTGACTTGAATTAAAAGTGTTTAAAAAACTCGATTGGACCAAAATACCCCTCCTTGAAATTTGGGAGAGGGGTTGGTAAAGTAGCAAATACTACAATGAATAAGGGTAAAAAATATTGAACTTTCTCATGTGATGAACATGTGGGAATATTCTCACGGCTAGTTAACAGAAGGTAGTAACTTGCACAATTTTACTAACTCAGGGTATTTTTTTTCGTATGTTATCTAACTTGGAATATTTAAGTGCAACAAGAGTGAAACAATAAGGTATATAAGCGCCATTTAGCCTAAAAATATGAAAACTACGGATATCTTACTAAAAAAATCAAAACCTATAATAAATCACAGAAAATTTTGAAAGTTGCAAATAACCCCTTTTACATACCAACAAATTACAGAAAACCCTTAACAAAAGAAGATATTACAAACAAATTCTTAAAAATACAAAATTATGTATAGCCCCCAAAACAAATCTAAAATTACAAAGAAACCCTATGTATATACAAATTACAAAAGACCCTGAAAATTATAAAATTGTAAATGATCGCCCAAAAGTTTAAGAATTTAAAAAAACTTGTAAAATCCGAAAACCACAACCAAAAATTATAAATAACACTTTGAAAGATCTAATAATTCAAACAAAACTTGAAAAAAAATATGAAAATATAAATAACATATTAAAATAAAAAAATGATGACTAGAACCCTAAAAGATCTAAAATTGCAAGCAACCCCATTAAAAAATTAAAAAAATTTACAAACATACCCAAGAAAGTAAAAAATTAAAAAAAAGTAAAAAGTACAATTTTTTTAAAACTACAAAAACGCACAAAAAATATAAAATTAAAAAAAAAACTCCTTTTAAATCAAAAAATATAAATTACCTCTTGAAAATCTAAGAATTACAAACAAACCTGTAATAAAAATATGAAAACTATAAACATCCGTTATGAGGGGTTTTCTGCCAAAATTATTAGGGGTTAAATGAAAAAAATGTAAAATTTGTTGAGATTTATGCCAAATTGTATTAGAGGGTATTTTTTTTATTTGAGTACACATGACGTAACGAGTTAATTTTGAGAGCTTTCTGCCAAAAGTTGTTAGGGTTTAGTAAAAGTTTTAAAGATATAGGGGATTTTAGTTCCGAACACCTAAACTTGGGGTTCAGTTAAATTTAAGCATATTTTAATATTGGATTTTTTTTTTTTGATATATAGCTCCTAAATTTCAGACATTTTTAAAGTTATACCCAAATCATGATGATTGTAAGCTTGTTCCGCAAAATGTTTTGTCCCTTTAATTTTACGTTTCGCCTTAACTTTAGTCACATAAAAATGAAAAATAAAAAGAAAAGAACGATCTCCTATGCAGGCACGGGCATACTGAGATTACATATAAATAAATTAACCATTTAGTCGACACAGAGGTATGGTACTCACTCGATACGTTGCCACTTCGTACATATGTATTTTGAAAAGCAAATAAGCAAGTATATGCATAAAAGTTCAAAAAAAGAACAATTTAAGTGAATAATTTATAGAAAAGTATAAATAGACGGAAGCAAAATAAATCACTCAAACTAGATGGAATTCCGTCTAGGTTGACTTCCATCTAGGTTGACTTCCGTCTAGATTGATCAACCTAGACGGAATTCCGTCTAGATTGATCAACCTAGACGGAATTCCGTCTAGATTGCTTCAATCTAGACAGAAGCAAAATAAACCACTCAAACTAGACGGAATTCCGTCTAGATGACCTAATCTAGACGGAATTTCAATCAACCTAGACGGAAATTTCCGTCTAGGTTGATCGTTTTTCTACTAGTGAGACTATCACAAAGGATCCCAAAGTGTTAGGTTGTGCTCATGTTACTAGTATTATGCCCGCACGTTGTTGCCGGCATTATTAGGTGTATCTATCACCAAATTGACAATATGATTTTTATATATAACTATTCATAAAAACTTTAGCGATAATTTTTTTATTACTATTTACAAAGTGAATCTCAAAATCAGTTAATAAAACAATATATCAATTAGCAAGTTTTATCAATTTACGATAATAGAACCAGAATTTTTTTGAATATTACATTGTTATCCTAATCTATTCTAATTTTAATCATATCTTATCTAATTCCACGTGAACTATTTATAGGTCAACAATTTAAAAAAAATTATTTTGAATATTTCAGTTAAAACTTAATCTATCCAAATACTAATTATATCATATATTAACTCCATATGAACTACCTATAACTCAAAAATATAGAAAAAATAATATTAAGAAATTATACATAGATAACATATTATAATACATGAAGTATTATAAAAAACCCAAAAGTTTCAAAATTTGCATATAATAGCCTTAAAAGTTTAAAATTACACAAAACACATTGACTTTTTAAAACTTAAAAACAAACATGATATCTAAAAATTTAAAACTTGTAATTAACACCCTCAACATTTTAAAAATTATAGAAACAACCTCAAAAGTTTAAAGGATAAATTACATTATATACCCTATGTGTTTCGCTCTTGAAGCAGTTATATACTCTAAGTCATAAAATATAACAAAAAAATACCCTGAGTTGGCAAAAATTTACAAGTTGGTACCTTCTGTTAACCAGTTGTGAGAATATTTTTTGGAATATTCCTACGTGCTGGACCTATGACCAATTTGAATACTTCTTACTCTTATTTATTGTATTATTTACTATATTACCTACCCCCAACCCCTCGTCGCAAATTAGATTATTTTCATCTTCTTCTTCTTCTTTTCGTGGCCTCCAACTTCTTCTTCCTCTTTAATATGGGTAACAGTAGAAAATAAGAGCTTTCACTATGTTGGGGGGAGGTTAATTCTTAAGGAGGGGCATTATTGTCCTTTCATGTATTTTTAATACAGTTAGCTACATTTAAATAGTTACCAACTCATGGTATTTTTTTGCTATGTTTTGTAACTTAGGGTATATAATTACTACAAGAGCAAAACAATAGGGTATATAAGTGCTATTTAGCCATGTTTAAATTACAAAAAATATTCTAAAATTCAGATATTTCAAAACTTAGAAACAACATAGATGGATCTCAGGGATTACCATTAGG